TTTTAGCACAGAATGAAAAATAATATAGAAGTTAATAATCTATTCACTAAAAATAATGGGAAGGAACTTAATCTGGAGGCTATGTAGAGTACGCGGACTCTACGACCAGATAAGTTMTACACGTATGGGAGATGATTGAACTAATTACCTATAATTCTGCTATGGACGAAGTCCTGTATTTATGCAGAATTTGGGTGGCTAAATTGTTACACGTAAGATGGAGGTCAGTCAAAAGGTACCGACGTGGTTGTTATTGCCAAATATAGCTGAAAGTAGTTCCTATTCATAGCTTTTTAATAATCAAATATGTTCAATGTTCATGAATTGTAATAAATCAAAAATGGTAATAATATTATGTGGTTTTTCACGTACATGCTCCTGTAATCCTATAAAACTTAAAATAGTAAAGTGACTACGTCAGTTTAGTATAGTATTTCTATTAATTTGCAAGAAATCTGAAATGGTAATAAATTAAAGTTGTTTTGACGTGGTTTTTGACTCTTTGTTAGGTACTAATGTATATTATTTATTTATTTATCGCTACATTGTAATATTTAAAATAGTAAATTGACTTATTCAGTAACAATCGTCTCAAATTTATGAACATGCAATTATGTCAAACATCGATGAATGAATTGCAAATGCCTGAGTATCATATTAATTTATAAAGTTGTAATTGTCATTAATATTTTACAGTGCAGTTGGTCAGACAATCAGGTGATGAGTTGAAAAATATTGGTTATGACAGTAARCTGACAGAGACGGAAATAAATTAATCAAATCGAGAATAATAAACAGCTAAATACGCCAACGATTATATTATGGTTCCTATGCAACCATATTACTGTAATAATATGTTCGTCACTGAGATATGACCAATAAATCCGATTTATCTTAAATTTGTGTTTACGTACAAACTAATGAACATGTTTTAATTTTCCTTATTTATTTTACAACACATATTTATGAAAATTTTTTTTTTAAATTGTTTCACACTTTAAGGTACCTAATTAATAAAATAATAAGTGGTTCTAATTAGATAACATTTTAGTTAAGTTAATATGTCGACTACTAACAATTCATTAAGATAATATATTTATTATTACATACCATTTAACAAAAAAACAAAAAAATCTTGTCAAAAATAATAGTTAGGATGTTATATAGTGTTTAAAGTAAAAGAGCTAATTTCTTAAAAACAGTAATCACCTGGTTATTGCATGAGATACAAAGTCTGAGCTTCGTGCCAAAATATCTATAGTTAAATACACAGAAAATATCGAGATAAATAGCTCGCAGTGTCACGATGAACGGATTGTATAGAATATAATAAAAATACAAATGAAAATTTTATATCAATTTATGCTATATTATTACAGACTTCGAGAAAATATCATTGTCGATTGAATAAAAAAATAAAATAATGCTATTTATGTATAATGTATATATTGTGATTTTTCATGGAAAATAAAAATAGTATTCCCATCGAGATTGAGGTACTTCAAGAGTACAATTGAACACGTAGAGCTCAACACTTCCATGTAATGATTAGAGTGCTAAAAGCTGATATAATTATGATAATTCCACAGTCGTTTCGTTTGATGAGTATTATGATTGCGTTCACTGGTAGATTGATTATGTAATTAATATTATTAACTGTATATTACGAATTACGATTAAATTTTAAAAAAGAAAAATTGTGAATACAATTAGGCAAACATATAAAAAACATTAACAACAATAATACTAAGGATTTTATTGAACAGAATAATTAACCATAAGCTATTATACAATTGGTTGGACAAAATACCATAATATATTATATCTAATAAGATATTAAATAAGTTTTCATTGCACATTACATTACCAATCTCAAAGACATTCTCTATTTTCATGTTGTCATATTTATAATATGTAATTTGTCACAAATGTTTAGTCTATAGAAACGTACACTATATTTGGTAAAATATGATATTTAAATACTATATATTCCTCAGAAACAAACAAAAATGACTGATTGTTTATATAAATATTTTAGTTGTGAATTTGGAAAGTAAATTATAATTAAATATCGATTTTAAAGAAATTTATGTAATATAAATATTTTTAAGTTATTATTTGTAAACCATAATATATGCACGTAAAAAAGATAATGTCTTCTACTGTTGAAGCTTGTGAGTTATGGTTAATAATAATAAAAAAATTGATTTATTCATTTGTTTTTATTTATTGTATTTTATGAAAATTAATTAAAATCAGAAAGACATGGACAATATAATACTATAATAAATTATTTTAAAAGCAACAAATTTTTGTAATCTAATTAGTAGAGATACGTTGTTAGGTTGTAAAATATTAATATATTATTATAAAGCACATAATATCATACACTGAAAAAAAATATCTAACTAAATCTATGAGTTGATTCATATTTTCAATTTTGGACAATAGGAGTACACGCAATTTATTTATTATAAAATAATTACAAATTCAATACACGTACAACAGGAATTATAATTAATGGCGGACGGTTTACACGTGATCATCAAATATTTATAGGGCAGCAAACCATATTTAATAAAACGATATCCAGTAAAATTACAAGATACGTGTGTTACAATGATTTTTTATGGTCTCCACTTTCCAGATGTTTTTTTTTTTACTTTTAAACATGTTTTTACGTTAAACAATTATTATATTGGACTACGTAATTCATTGATAACAGTATTAAACGGGTGCTAAACTATGTTATCGGTAAATGTATAATTTGTTTTTGCTTAGTACCGCTAACAATACAAAGCATTAACCTATATAATTTATGAACAATAACACACTTCATCCTTTTACATTGCAAAATCTATCAAGCAGATTATAAACAAACAGACATCAACACAAATTTCATCAATATTAAATTACATTTAAATATATAATTTAACATTGGCGTGATAAATATATATTTTATTCAACAAACTTATCAACATAAATTGCTATTATTAACATTATATAAAAATAATCTGAAACATATGTTTGTTTTTAAAATATTTTATTTTTATTTCTGTATACTGAATGCGTAATAACAAACAATTTGGTTCTTCAATAATGTATGTAAAAACTTTGACTGTAGTAAACAATTTATTATTACAGTTAAAACTGATCGAGCGATTTGTTTGCATTATTTTTGATGTATAGTATATATGTATGTATGTATATAGCCATATAGGTACACTAAACTTTTTGAATAAATCTTAAGAATTTATTTTTGTTAAAAAGTCCACTTCAACGGTATAAGGAGATTGATCAGAAATTTAAAATAATAGTTACTTGGATTCTTTAAACTAATTTATAACATTACACTAAAATACTACAATATACTACTCCAGAAGCAAGATTGGTCATAGTTTTTAAATTTTGAGCAAAAACGAATGTTTTTTTTTACGTACCTATCTGTTTTGTATAATAATCTATTTATTTCTTTTTGATTAGTATTTTTTCGGGTGGTTTCATACTACAGTATTATAATAGCTATATTTGGAACTTCTTGCATAGTCACCACTATTGGAGAAGGGATTATGTACTCCGAATATTTCCATATGCCTCTTAGATGAAGAACAACAAGTCTCAGAATTGTGTTATACACAAAGCTAAAAACCAACTAAGAATAATAATTGTAATAATTACTATTGCAAATTAATCCGTACAACAACGTTTTGTGTAGTTTTGATAAAATGGGAAAAGGATTAAGTTATAAAGTAACTTTATTCTAAAGTTGATTTTAGTTATAGCTTTAATCAACTAACTTAGAAATTAAAAATCAATTTACAATTACTTAAAAATTGAGCTTTAAAACTTACAATTTATTCAGTGTAATAAGGTGAAAATGGGGAATAATTGCAAACACGTGTAGAGACTTAGGTTGGTTTAAACCGACAATTTTATTTATATTTTGTGACAGTATAGAATTGATGGAAACATATGTTGTTACAATGTCAGTTTATCCTAACGCATTCTGTATTAAAAATGTAATAATGAAAAAACCAAGTTTTCTAAAATGAAATTATTAACTTATAATAGAAACTAATTAAATTATTTAAAAAATAGTATATATAGTGAATAAATAATGCGTGCTATTGATTATAAACTATGTTTTATTTTTTTTTCTACAMGTACTTCTATTACAATGGCATTTAAGTCATTTTTAATTTAATTTAATAGAAATCAATAAGATATTATGGTATTTTAATCAAATATTTCCATTTTATATTTTGTCCGTGTTTTTACTTTGAAAAAAAAAAAAAAAACTAATCTTTAATATACAAAATTATTATAAATAACATTACCATGATGAAAAATTATATATTTGTTTCAATATAGACTTCTGAAATTCCTCCTATCTTTTTCACTGTTTATTTTTGTCCAGAAACGAAATATTCTTATTTTGGTGTCTTGTGTGAGTACTGATTAAGTATATTATACTCTGTTTTATTTGAAATTATTATTTGTTGTACATTGAGAGAAAAATTATTTTTTAAAACAATAGTGTCAAAATAAAATCCTTTTTTTATCGTTATAGCATTAACAACAAGGTTATTCGCATACAATTAAGGTTTAAATTAAAATTATAACGTAAATATTAATAACGTGTACATTATAATGTACATTGGGTGACTTTTAAAGTGGTATAAGATTATATTATTAAGTTGCATACTTACTTAATTCGATATTTTTTAATAAGTTCATTATTTTTTTACAGTCAGCAAAGGATCCTATATATTATCATATATTATCTAAATATAATAATTAGCATAAGTACTATTAAAGTAATACACTTTTTAAGAACACTCTTTCACCGTTGTTAATATTTTAATATTAACCAATCTTTAATTTGTATATTTTGCATTAATTTTTAAATAAAATAAAATACATTTTCCATTTTTGGTAGATGATATTGGCATAATATTTATATAGTTATATAAATACTTATTTGTCGTGTTTCAGGGCGATACAAGAATGCGATGCTTATCAGTGGTACTTTAGCTGTCCAACTGAATTTATAAACCTTAGCGGATGACCTTCATACATTTCAGGGAAATGGTACCAAATTTGTTTTTAGTTGCACTGTTTATCAATGGTAAGTTATACATCTATTTAAATATTTAAAATATAAATATTATATTATTCATTAATATTAATTTATTGTTATGATGTGGTAATTATAACACATACAAAAAACGTGTTTCAACCAACTATATATTCCCTTATAGTTGAAAAAACTACTAAAAATAACCACCCAATAGCTATTGGCCAACTAATATTGGCTAAAATATATGGCTAATGTTGCCACAGATTAATTGATAAATGGTAATAAAATAATAATTTATTGTTGTGAAATGAAAATTTCTTTCTTTTATTTTTTGATTGAAATACAATATCTGCGTATAGTTGTTTTATAATTAATAAAGTTAGATACACATAAATGCATAGGCTATTTTTATTCTTATATACCCTAACACCAACTTCTGATGTTTTATATAGAAAAAAAAAACTATTAAAAATAAATTAATCTTTATTTTAATTTGAAGTGAGTTAAAGGTTAGGTTATGCTAAGTAAATAATAGAAATTAATATATAATACATATTAATACTTATTATAACCTAACTTATAAAGTACGATTGAAAAATATAATCACTTTTGTCGGATCTAATTTATAAATTTTCACTATAAAGGGTTTAATTTAAAATAATCGAAAAAATATAAAATTAAAATAGTTAGACGCCTAATTGTTTAGAAATATTATAATAGTTAATAGTCATAGGTTAATTACTATTGCATAAAAAAATCATCATATTATGGATGCATAGCTGTAATAATTAAGTAGTAAATATTTTTCTCTTCTTTTGTCTTAAATATGTATATATCATTAGTGAAATACAATTTCATTGTATTGTATTGTATTCATTGTATGAATTTATGAATTCAGTTACATGGATTTGTGTACCAAAATAGGTTACTTTTTATAATTTTGAATTTATAACCAACATTTTAGTTTCTTCAAAAGAGTAGTTTTGAATGATTTTCAACTTTTCAACAATAATATAGGTTTGGTTGATATGGAAACTATATTTAAAATTCTTATAAGTTATCACCTAATATAAGCTTATAAAGAATGTATAAGCTAATGGCCTTTGTCGCCGATGTTTATGAAAACAATAAAAAAAGAATGTATAGTTTATACAATTTTCTGAATATTTTAAGTTCATATATACTATATAAATTATGAAATTTATTTTATTTCTTTGTTAAACTATTTTTAAGGATTATCCTAAATATATTTTGATAACTAAGAAGCTCATTAAATTCTTAATTTATAAAAATTACAATAAAAAAAAAAATAAAATCGTCTGATTAACAATTTACTATAAAACAAATTTGGTTTTCATTTAATAAAGTAGGTTTGCATCATCATTGTAAGCTTCTTAAATTATTATAAAATACATACACCTATCTATATTTTTGAAAATTTGTTTCGTTAAATATAATTAATAATAAAAATAAATTGTATTTTAATAAGTTCATTATTAAATGAAAAAAAATGAAATAATAGAGTAAACATGCATCAAGAACCACTCAGCTGTTTGATGAAATATTATAAATAGACATGGTTAATGTTATGCTATTGTAGTTTTAAATGTTTAAGATTTATAAATTAATTTTTAACAATAATATTTTGTTCGTCAAGTTAATCAATACTGTATATTATTAAATAATTTTAGATAATTTATTACATATAATTGTTTTCTTTTTTAATTCAATTTGATTTAAGCTTAAGACAAAACGGTCGTTGTCATCCTATATAATATTTAAATGATCGATGCTGTGGCAAGATTGCAACTTGCAAGACGCATTTATCAAATACCATCAGAGAAACAATAAGAGCTTTTGGTCACAGTTTTAACCCTTGACAAGTGAACTAAAGAAGGACATGAGCAAAATAACAAGTAGTATCTCATACAATAATATGCTCACAGTATATAATAATTTCAAAAAACTTTTGTTTCCGATCACCCGGTACAGGRCCCATATTATATACTATTATATTCTTTAATTCGTTATTAGAGACAAGGCTGTCATTGGAAAATTCACTGCTACATTTTCCTGCACGTTAATAATGAACATGGATCGATATATAACAACGGAAAATAAAGTTATTTCGTTAGATTTCGAATAGAAGTTTTAACCCTGTCAAAAATGATTTATAATTCATTTTTGTTTACCCGAATGCTTTATACTATTATATCACATGACGATATTATTATACCAAAGAGTGGATGTTTTAATTATTTTTTTATTTTTTTTTTAAGACCCTTAAACCATTTATTATTTTTCTTCTTATTTTTGTATAACCATTTATAAACAAATTAGAATCTAATTTGTTTATAATCTAATTATTAGATCATTGTAAACGTTTAAAAATCAATTATAAATTATAATTGATTGATATTTATTGTATATTATAATAAGGATTTTACTATTAAACTATTTCTACTGTATATTAATATGTTAAAGAATAAATAAATAAATAATTGATCACCAATAGTTTAGTGTTGGACAAGCTTTACGTAAAAAAGTTAAAATAACCTTTAATACAGTAAAATAATATATATATTATACATGTTACATACAATGTCCGGAATTGTATATTTCGAAATTTGTACAGTGATTATTGTWCACATCGCGAATTGTACAATGTTGCTGTACAAAGTAACTAGATTGTACAAGTTTCATTATACAATTCGCGATGTGTACAATAATCACTGTACAAATTGCGAAATGTACCTTCATTGTTCAAATCASAWGATWAMTGCTAGTTTTAAAGTCTTAATTATTATTAACAAATAAATAGAAATACTGGATATTTTAATATAAAGTTATATAAATTACAATATAATAGGTGGTATTTTTTAAAAGTATTTTCTTAACAAATATTACATATTAGTATATCATATAAAATTTTTTTTTTTAATTAATATTATTTTCAACTTCACTCATTCTGCCCGATTATATATCACACTATTATAAGTTGAAATATTGCAGAAGTTCCGATTACAATGCACTAGTCCGTATTGAAATCTGTTTAAATTATATTTCTGAACGACTCAACGACAGTACTTATTGTAAAGTAGTTTAGATCAACTTTATCATTTTTATTGCATTATACCATTAATAATATGTTAGATTCCACATAACGTGGGAAAAACAACTCATATGACTATACGAGATGAAATTATACATCTTATTATAGATTCACGTATTTTATTTCATATCACAATGTGTACTGTGTACACTGTACAGTGTACAGTAACATGTAGTTTTATACGATTTGTAATTTTTATAATATGTTTTTAAATTTTGAGATTTGTTCGATGATTGTAGTATACTAATACGTAAAGACCAGGAGCATCTAATCATATATGATATACTAATATTTAATATTTGTTAAGAAAATACTTTTAAAACATACCAATTATTAATTATTATATTGTAATTTATGTTTTTAAATGTTGTGATTTGTACAATGAAGCACATTTCGCAATTTGTACAGTGATTATTGTCATATCACGAATTGTATAATGAAACTTGTACAATCTAGTTACTTTGTACAGTAACATTGTACAATTCGCAATGTGTACAAAAATCACTTTACAAATTGCGAAATGTACAATGAAACTATTTGTATAATAACTAGGTAGGTGATATAATTTTAGGTGGTTATTCAATAAAAACATTAGTTTAACATGTCCAATTTATTTATTTTACATCCACGAGTAGTAACATTGATCTAAAAAATATATATACAGCATAAACTGTTTTGTCGACTTTCATATTACCTTTTAGATTCTGAGTGAAGCTATAACGTTTGTATTTGTTTGACAATGATTCCTTTTTTTTTTATTCAATATCTATGTTGTTTTTGTCATCGCCTTTTAGTTCAGTACCTATAAATGCCAAACTACAACATTGTGAATGACTTCTAGAACCAAATTGGATCTTTTTGAAACTTTATGTAGTAAAAAGTAGTATATTCTCTTTTTAAAATAATTGGCAAAAAAAAACAAAAACAAATTTTAAATAACGGAATACTATACTAACGCATCACCAGTTTATAAAATAATCGATTTTGTATTTTATTGCAATTAAAAAATAAATTACTATTGACACTTGACATTACTTAAATATTTATACTAGCCTTTTTTTTACTTACAATAATTTTCAATATTTTGGCTCTTTTTAAGCCATTTACAAACGGTTGAATACTAGACATATCTAGTTATTTTTAAATTTAAATTGATATAGTCCTTAACTAAGTCTAACTTAAGATATTTTTACAGAAATTGAAAATATATAGATGTATATTATCATAATGCACATTTTTATTATTCATTTAAATACTTAAAAATTGATATTTATTTTGAAATTAAAAATACGTAAAATATTTAATTTTTATAGATTATAATTATTGAAAATTTATTTTATAATATTTGATTTTATTTAGATTTATTTTACATTATATTCCTTAAGCATTTATTTTTCTGGAAATTAAAAAAAAMAGTTAATTGTGAGACCAAAATATGATGCAAAATATATTCGATTTTATTTGTGAAAATTGATAATTAATTCCACACTCTTAAACTTTCAGTATTACTCTCAGAAGAATAAATAATTGGGTACTAGTATTAGTTCAATAAAATTATAACATGCATTTCTTAGAAATATCGAGTGTCATGTTGTCTCTTATTTTACTAATGCAATGATTCATGTTTTAGCTTAAATTTAACATTTTATCCATTAGCTCAAAGTTGACATCATACACACAATTTACAAGCAACCCAACTATTTTTCGTTTTAAAATGTTTTATTTGAAAATACCTGCATAAGCAGTGGCCATTATAGTATAGATATAGATTAATTTATTGTTTTAATAATAACAGTAACTGTAAAATTATAATGGTTATGGGAATAAGAATCGAGGCCTTGATTGAGCGGTTCAGCTAACGGTTGTAAAAGCTATTTGGTTTTCTCTGGCCTATGCATGATGTAAACTCTGCAGGAGGCGCATATCTGATTTTTTT